CACACACACACACACGACGCACGCACGCACACAGAGATTAATATTTCCAGAACGACTCGATTATATCAGCGTCCGTGAGAAAATAGAACGCAAAGTTTCACAATGATTTCGAAGGTCTTTTTAAACAATAACTGTGATACATACAAAGTATCTCGGACATCGCATGAAAGGCTGATTTTCGGGTCGGCATTACTTATTGTTTTCTATGTCCGCCAGGTCAACGAACAAAGAGAACGAAATTTATGTTCCGTGTCTCCTAGTTCAACAAATATTGCTAATAGAATATTGGACCTTGAACGCTTTGACTTTTTCTTTCTCACGACAAGAGGTGGTGAAGCGCTACTGGTAGGCCGCGAAGAACGCGTGGTTCTCCAAGTAAAAGTGATGCAAGTGACGCGTTCGTATTCGTACGTAAAGCGTGGTTACGAACGGGCATACTGGTCGCGCGGTAATTATCCGGATATGGTGAATCGTGTAAACGCGTCCTAGTTCTTTTCTTTATGCTCGATCGGTCTTCTTCTTTCCCGCAACATTTATGCACGCGCGCTCGTCTTTTCCTATCTCTCTTGTGTATGTGAGATTCTCGATGATGTCGCGATCCACCTACGACACGATCGATGACGCGTCCTCCACGAATAGGTAAACCGGTACACATTAGTCTAGGTCTAGATGCATTCGTTAATCGGCACCGCGATGAATAACACGGAGCATGCCAATTCGCTTTTTTCTTTCGCGGTGGGTGATGCGTCATGTGATCTGACTCGAAGAATTGGTCTGACTATAGCGGCTACACTTTCATCCGTCGCGAAGGATACACTTTGGAAATTATGAATAATTACGTTGGAACGGTCGCTTGGAATGTCCAAGACCTACTATGCCAGTTTCCAGATATTAAGACTCAAAATGAAAAAAAACTGTTTCAAGAATTACATAAAAAATGTCATAAAGAATTTATAACGTAATAAATAATTCAAAATAAAAGGATTTCAAATGAGTTAAGTTTTAAAATATGAATGGAATATAATATGAATAGACAAGAAAGTATTTTTTTTCTGTGAAAAAGATAGCTCTTTAACTCTGTTCATTATTATTATAATATTTTTATATTGATATTTTGTATAATATACTTTTATGTTGATATTACATATAATATACAATAATATACAGTTATAATATATATATATTAAAAAGAATAATAATTTATTTATTGTTTTCCACCTCCTATTCTCAAACACGGAATAGTGCGTCAAACGCGGAGATAAAGAATGCTTAAGTAGAATGGCATTGTATTCGGTAATTGCTGCAAACATTCGTAGGACATACTCACTTTGAACTGCGACCAGAAACTGGTGGGCCATTGCCAGGAATAGTCGTCATCAGCAGAACTCGCGCTGCTACTGGCGTGGCTTTGTGTATCCAACCATAGCGTACGGCCTTCGTCTTCCTTCACTGTAAACCATCGAGGAAATGAGTCTTTAGAGCAGCTTTATGAGAATTGCATCGTCGATAAATACGCAGATAGGCAGAGATGCACAGTTAAAAGGAGAAGAACTCGATGATAATTATTTCACGATTTCGCTTTGCTTGCTTTTTTATTTTCTTCCCCCCTCTCTCTCTCTATATATACATATATATATATATATATAATTCACTGCAGTTTCTTTTATCATGATTGAATGTTAATGTAACAAGTTCATATTATTCAATTATTTACATTTTTATGTAATATTTCATTATCTATAATTTTATTATCTATAATTTTGTTCCATTATATTGGATTTTCTTTATAGAAATAATTCTTCATTATTAACGGTCTCTGATGTAGTTATATTAATGAAAAGAATATACTTAATATAATTTAATATAGTCATATTAATGTTGAAAATATTTAAAACACTTTATAAATTTAAATAATTTAAAAATACAGAAAACTAATTAAATAAATACCAGCAATGTACGAGTGCATAAAATTGGTTCTCATTTACAATTTTTTTATGATGGAAAAAAGAAAAATTTTACATCTGTCTTAGAGCGTTCCGCAGCTATTACATTTATTTTTGACAACTTTATTTTTGGCTTTTTTAGTATTTAATATTATTATAAATATAGAGAAAAAGAATACTTTATTTTTCTTATTCTCTCTCCGATTTAGATTGATCAAATTTTTTAACATTATTCGTAAAAAATAGCGATTTTTAAATACTTTTTTGACTTAGTTTATTATTTGTTATCGAAAATGAAATCGAGATGATTCTGAACTACTTATTTCGAAATCTAACCGTCCATGGATATATGTAATTACATCATCAAAAGCGAAAAGATAAATAACTCTTGGGAATCAGTACGCGCCATAACGCTTCACGAGTTAAAGACTAAACATTCGATAGACAGATTCAATCAAGTTATCTATTTTAACAGTTCATAAAGCGACCCTTCTAGAGTTTGCCGTAGGGCAGACGCAAGATACTTGATCTTTGAGCAAGTGTGCGCTTTAAATGGACATATCAGAGCCGTAACGGTCTGTCTGCGGTCTAGGGGAAAGTCTAGGTGTGTATACATTTAAATATATTATCGCAGGGCGAACTGCATACTATATAATACCGTTGTGGCTGATGTGGTGCTCGTGATAATGAATGAGATGGTCGCAGAGCGGATGTTGGCTGGGATTATACTCCGGGCGAAGTTCCGGTGGGCAGTCAGGTCCCTGTCTTGCAGCTCTCGCTGCGGCAACGATGCGATCTCGAACTTCCTCTGGCCCCTTTATTTGTTCCACTGAAACAGAAGCGTTTCGTACAACACCGAGCTCTCTTCTCAATCGATTCTGATCAATTCAAGTGAACAACAACGTTTCTCGCGGTATTTCACCAGCAGTTATTTCAAAAAACAGATTTGCGATAGTAGATGTATATATTCATATTTACAAAAAGAAAATTATTTATTTCCATAATGCAAATATTTTAAGAAAGTATTTTTTTATTTTCATGAGCATTTGTCGCATTAAAAAGACACTATTTGTGTCATATAAAATATTGACACTAAATATAAAGTATAGAATGTGTACGTTATTATTATAATTTTATTTTTATAAATGTTTCTTTTAATTTTTTTTTTTTGCAAAGCACGTGATATTTTTGTGACATATATATGTATACAAAAAATTTATATAATTATACTACACTACTCAACAAAAAATAGGGAACACTTTCGAACACGCTCAAAATTGCGCAATATTCAGAACACCATAACTCGGTGAAAAATCGTCGCAGAAAATAAATCGAAAAAGCATTTTAAAGATTGAAATCTCTATTTTTCAAATCGGTAATCGATATTTCAATTTGATCGATCCTTCATGGAGCTACGCGTATACAAATGGATACCCATCAAACTTGAAAATTTTGATCAAACTTCACAAAGGTCTATGGCGTGTACTAAAATAATATTGTAGAATGATATAATGCGGTTCACATCATTCGATAGAGTGAATCTTTACCTTCAATTTGTTTTTTTATTGCTCGTTCTACAATTTTTTTTCACCGAGTTATTGAACGTTGAAGTAAAAATGTTACTTTTGCTTCAATGTTCAATAACTCGGTGGAAAAAAATCGTAGAACGATCAATAAAAAAAACAAATTGAAGTTAAAGATTCACTCTTTCGAATACTGTGAACCGCATTATTGTGAAATTTTTAGTACACAGATCTTTGTAAAATTTGATCAAAATTTTTAAATTTGACGGGTATCCATTTGTATCCGCGTAGCTCCATGAAGGATCGATCAAATTGAAATATCGATTACCGATTTGAAAAGTAGAGATTTCAACCTTTAAAATGCTTTTTCGATTTATTTTCTGCGACGATTTTTCACCGAGTTATGATATCCTGAATATTGCGCAATTTTGAGCGTGTTCGAAAGTGTTCCCTATTTTTTGTTGAGTAGTGTATATAAGAAAAAAGGTTATATCGTAGAAAATATATTAGAAAAATTAAAGACAGACATTGATTTTTTTCAAAGAAGAAAACCATAAATTTTATGAATTTGAAACGCGTTTAAAGAAAAATAAAGATCGTATCTATTAGGTATATAAGTTTATTCGCAGGTTAATTCAACGAAATTAATTCATATAATGAAGTGTGCTTACGAATGAAGTCTGCGGGGTTGTAATGTGGCAGTAGAGTAAGTCCTATTGTAGAGAAGAATCTACCAACATTCGCCGTCGATCCGTAGTACGCCACCTGACCATTACTCAAGAGGAGAAGCTTACTAAAACTGTGGAACATCCTGGAACTAGGTTGGTGTACCGTCACCACAATGCTCTTACCCTCCTGCTCAGCATATTTCTTCAATCGCGAGATCAATGCCTGTGCCGAATGCGAGTCGAGTCCACTCGTAGGTTCCTGAAAGATGAAAGATTTTATAAATTAGCGATGTAATAATGGTTTAACTTACTTTTTATCTTTTCTACTTTTAAGAATTAGGAAAGAATAAAGAGTAAATTAAACCGAGATTAAAGTTAATTTACATTGGTAGAAATAAACATTAAAAAACTTTTTTTAAACAAAAATTCACGTAGAAAATTAAATCATGCTATTCATTCATTTTTCAATTTATAAATTGTATAATATACAGATACGTAATTTCAAATATATTCTATTTGAAGAATTTTCTTTTTTTACAGTTCCTTAATGTCATAAAATTCTATGTTCGTGCAGGAAAGAACTGAAAAATTTTCAATTCTACATTATTCGTTTTATAGTTAGACTTATATGAACTTCGTAAGTTTCTACATAAGTTTCCATAAGTTATTTAAATTTTATATAATAATTTTTTCCGATTGATTAACATTTAAAAATAATTATATTACATTATGAAGAATAGAATCCGTGAATGTAGATATACTTTTTGTAAAACTATATGTGTGCGTGATGAACAATTATTAAATCAATCATGCATAAATATAATAAAACACATGCAATTAGCTTACAAAGAAAAAATGTAGGAAAAACTTACGTCAAGTAGCATTAATGATGGATTCGTGAGTAATTCGCAAGCTATACTCGTCCTCTTCTTTTCACCACCGGAAATTCCCCGTTTCGAATAATCTCCAATAACTACACAAGAAATATATTATTTTATAAATTAAAGAAATAATGTCCAATATGTTGAATTACAAATATTATTTCGCAAATGTAGAAATTAATTTTTGGAAAATATCAATTAGGAAGTTGAGGGAATCATCTTATATTGTTAATTTATATTATTTAACACATACGATTGTGATATTCATTAAGAAAAAAATATATTAAAATGTGCAGACGTAATATAATTGCGAATGTTAAGTATTTTCGCGTGGAATTAATGCGCACTGTTTTCTATTTTCTATACGTGATTGCGCTATCAACGAAGTGAATAATACACGAAAATAGTACTCGACTAAGCAACGAGATACGCGAAGATCCGTCATACGAAAGATATTGAAAATGTAGGCGATCGTAATTACCATGTCACGCATTTTACCGAGGCGGAGGAAAAAAAGGATATTTAATACAGGTTCAGAAGATACGACGCGTATGATCTCCGACAATAAAGCGTCAAAGGCGTTTTATTAGCATGCAAGCCTACGTCCGCGGTCGCGAATAACAGAATTACGAGCAGATATCGATGAAAAATTACCGCTGAACAATAAAGATAAATATACAATAAAGATAGTTTTCCCTTTCTCTCGGCGGCGTTGGCGTCTAACATTCCCGGTGCCGATATTCGGATTTGTTAACGCCAGCTGGAACTACTCGTATAAACGAGACGCGGGGCGCGTGATCTCTGACGCGTGGTAAATTATTAAACTTCGTCGTCGCCGCTGCCGCCGCCGGTCGTTCATGCCTTCGGGGTACAGGAAGAGAAACGAACGTATAATTGTGTACGGGGAATAATATTTTACGTCACATACGCGACCGAGGCGGTCGCGTTTAGCGCTCGCGGAGCCCGGAATGGAAAATATTATTACACCGAATGGAAAATACGTGTATACGGATGCTTTGCGAAAACTGGGACTGTCAACAGAGCCGAAATTCCGTGTAGTAGTAGTTGCGTGATCTTGCAATAGATAGCTGGCATACGTTAGTTAAGGACAGATGTATGCGTTTAAGTGAGACGGAACGATATATAATATAATGTAAGAAATGAATCAAAGATGTCACTATTATCGAATTTGGAATTTAAAAAGTCTGCACTATCAACCTCGATCAAGTTCGGTAATCGGTTTAGGATCCCCTTAATGATCGAGGAAATCGTTTATCAACCGACCGACAATGAGCCCGGCTCTCTGCGGCAGCAGAGATACGCGTACTTTCCCTCGTTGATATTCCGGAAAATGTCACCACGCTTCCGCTACATTCGACGTTTCTATACGTTTCTATACGTAGCTGAGTGAGACAACACGGGATGACCGCAATTCGCGTCTACGTCATTCGAGTAAGACTCTGAGATCAATTAAGTTGCAGTCGACAGGCTTTATTTTGACAAAAGCAATTATCTCAATGAACAATTGAATATAAAAAGAATATCTGTAAAATACAATTTGGAGTCTTCAATGGATAAGCTAAGATCTTATTCTTCGAGATCTGATTAAGATTAAGCGGATTTCTTGCTTCTTGCGGATTTAACGCTCAATTGCCAATAGCTGTCTAACTTCTGAACATTAAGAAGCAACGTCCAATCCAATTTGCTCGTTAACGAAGGTTGTATATTATTTTGAGAAATGATGTCTCGTCCAATTTTCTCGTTAACGACGGATCTACATCATTCTGAGAATCTCACGACATACGTGAAGCATGAGACATGCATGTAGGTCAGCTTGTATATTACTTGGCTCGTTTTTCCTACATGCATATTTCGATAACGCGCCCATGGCTGCTTGACGCTCGGACGACGGTTCGATATTTGTGATCATGGAAATTGTCAATCAAAATGCTAAGTCAAGACGGATAGTCGCGGTGACGATAACAGTAAGAGTCGGTCACAGATTACACGATTCACCTCTGCCTCGATTTGCGCTATAGTTAGGGCTAAACATCGAAAAGTCGGATGGTTAATGATATTTATAGTTGTAACGTGAAAGCCATATGTCAAATCAATTCAGTCTTCATCTTCGATTTTAGATTACTTTAAAATATTTACATTCGACTTAAATTCTAAAAGATCGAAAACTTGAGTATAAAACAACGAAGTAAGTGGTAATTTGTCGTATGTATATGTATACGTTCTCTCTTAACAAGTTTTGTCAAATTGATTTCGATCATCCGCTCTAAGAAGCCCAAATGAGTGATCATTTATAAAATAGAAAAAATATACTTTAATATATATTATTTATATTATTAAATATTTAATAATATAATTTCAGGTAGAATAAATAAAACTCACAAATCGAAATCAAATGTTTCTTTTTCTGCTTATATATCTGTTTTGAATAAAATAGATATAAATAATTTTATTTTTGGTTAATCTAATGTATCATTTTACTAATATTTTACTATATATGTTTTAAATATTTTAAATAAAATATTTAATAAAATTATTTTTGACTGGATAAATAAAACCGTTACCTACAAATGAGTAATGGGGCTTTTGTGAAAACTCGCGCGTCATCCAGATATGAGTATCATGTAGTTAAAGTGTTAACAAATGCAAATTCTCGAAAATCGCGTTAAACTGAATTTAACAATATCTACTATTCACAGAACGACGCGATGTATCTCGGTCGAGCGTGTTATTAGATCGTATAGAGTAATAACGCCTCTTCTATAATGCTACACAGAAATCGCGAGCGGCCGTTGTTTACATCGTGGACGTGTATACGAGCAAACGTATTTTACGACTTCGACTCAGAGAAATCGAGCGAATTACGGATCGGTGGAATTAATCCGGGCGCTGGTGACCATAGAGTATTTTTTTTGAGGTCCCCTCGGTACCTTGGGTGAACTTTATGTTTTTTGGGTCGCTGAATCCGAATTTCGAGGGTACCACGCCGAATTCTTGTTCATTTTTTTGTTATTAACAATTTAGATTGCAAAATCGTGTTTTTCGTGTTTTGGGCGGAAAAAAAATATTTTACCATAAATCTAAGCTCGGAATTCGATTCCGCATGAAAAAATACAATTAAAACTTGTATTATATGTGCCAATTGTAAATTATTCAATTATGCATAATGCTGAGCTCGAAATCCATGCACGACTACGTATGTGGTCTTTATGATTTTTTAGTAAATTACAACAGTTAGATATTATTAATTATAAGCAAAAAACTATAAATATAAACTTTTTTTCATTATTAAAATCTTACACGAAGTGAAAAATATCAAGCAGAAGGCGCGGCGCGACGCGACGACTCGCACGCGCGTGTTTTTAAAACACGTCGGAGTTTGCGACGCTTGCCTGTCTGTGCCTGTTTATCGCGCGGAGCCTCATTTCGCCGTCGGAGCTTTGAGATACAGTACGTATTTGAGAACAGGTGAATTATTTAGTATTTTGACTATGTCCCAAAGCAGTGATTTAAATTTTGACAAGAGCTTATGTATTATTTGCCAATCAAAAGATTATAACTTAACTAGTACAATAAATGGTTGCGAGAAAATACGTAAAGCCGCTAATCAAAGACAAGATACAGTATCATTAAGATTGAATCAATTGACACATGATGAACTTTTTCAATATCACGTAAGTAATACATGCTACAAGACGTATGTAAACAATATAAAATTGCAAGAGCTGTGAAAAAATTGAAAGAAGCAAACCACGAGATCCAACAAAGCACAAGCCAGTGTACGGCAAAAAATAACAATGTTCTAAAAGAAAATAATAGTAGAATTACAAGGTCACAATTAAACCATCTGTCTATAAAACCGAGAAATGAATCTGAACATAATAAGTGCATTATTTGTGGTTATTATTCTCATAAAGGGGAAAAACAAACCTTTAGAATAAGTGAAAAAGAGCGCGCAGATAAATTTTTTCAAATAACAAGGTTTTTTCAAGATGATGTTTTTGTGCAATGTTCAGATTTAGAAAATTCATCAGATATTTTTGCCAGTGATATTTACTGTCATAAGAATTGTATTAAATTATATTTAAAGAAATATGAAATTGTTGTAAATGCTCATTCTAGTCAAGAAAGTCGTCTTGCGGAGCACAGTGATAAAGACAGTGAAAGTAATGAAATTGTTACACACAAATCATCTGCTATTGCTCATGTAATCAATTCTTTTATTCCACGGGTTCGCAAAGGGGAAGTTTTTACTTTAACCAATGTTCGCGATCAAGCAAATGAATTTTCGAAGTCAACACTAAATATTCTCAATATAAACATTAAAAACTATTTGATAGATAATTACGGCGAAACGATTGAATTTTCAGTTCCATCTGATAGAAAAAAGGCAACTCTATTCTATGATAGTAAAATTTCTTTAGCAGATGTCCTCACAAACTTGCAGCCGAAAAATATTCTGAAGAAAAGTGCGAAAATGATTAAAGATGCCCTTAATACTCTCGATTTTAATCTAGAAGATAAGTTTCTTGATGTGTATAATTTGAGATCCTCGTGGGAAAAGTTTGAAATTCCCGAAAATTTATTAATATTTCTAACCGAACTATATGCTTTAAGAAAACGTGCAAAAAAAGAATCTGTTCAAAGTGAATTGTCTGAAAATAAAATCTTAAAAATGAAAGCTTTATGTCAAATAATGTTCTATATTCTAAAAAACGGTAAAGTAAAGACGCCGTTACACGTGCTTATTGCTCAAACTATTCACATTACATATAAAAGTAAGGATCTGATTGAGTGCTTTAATCGTCTTGGACTAAGTATTTGGTTACTGTATAAAGGATCAACATTTAGTCGTAAAAAAAGTTTCTATTCTCTATCCCCCTATCGATCAATTATTACCTAGTTGCAATTGTCTGGTGTGCTCTACGAAGGCATGTTGCTATCGTGCGGCAAAATTACGATGCGTTTCTTTCTGTAAATGTCGCGTAAATGACACTTACAAAAATTCATATGTATAAAAATAATTAAACTTTCCTTATTAAATCAATTAATTTCATTTCCATACATACCTTCCTACATTGTAGAAATATAACAATATATATTAATAAGAACTGAGTGCGGTCTTGCGCAGATTCAGTAGTTTAGCTTTCACTTATTCATAATAGAATAATTCAGAATTGGTACTGATTATACTTATTTTAATTGTATTTTTTCATGCGGAATCGAATTCCGAGCTTAGATTTATGGTAAAATATTTTTTTTCCGCCCAAAACACGAAAAACACGATTTTGCAATCTAAATTGTTAATAACAAAAAAATGAACAAGAATTCGGCGTGGTACCCTCGAAATTCGGATTCAGCGACCCAAAAAACATAAAGTTCACCCAAGGTACCGAGGGGACCTCAAAAAAAATACTCTATGGTCACCAGCGCCCGGACTAAATCCTCGGCTCGTAATTACGAATCGCGTGGCCGCGAGTCTAAAAACGTCGTGGCTTGACATCGATCCTTCGGCTTTACGGCGCGGGTGCGCGCCGTCGTACTCACTGGTGTCTTGGCAGCCCGCGAGGTCGAGGACCTCGATGATGTGGTCCACGCATTGCATCTTCTGGGAGTGTGAGAGTGTGTCCGGAAGCCTCAGCCTTGCCTGGTACTGCAAAATTACGATGCGATACAAACGCGTGACGTGTCGCGCGAGCGCGTGTAAGCGACGATCGGTTTTAGTGCCGTCCGATCGGTTTACGCGCTCTGACGAGCCGCGTAAACGCGCGCATTAAAACAGCAACGTAAACAAAACCATGCCGCGCCTCAGCGCAGTGCATCGCGGCTGGTGGATGCATTTCCGTTTCGTAATATATCCAGGCCACTTTGTACTATTATTACTCCGGTCGGCTCTAACGCGCCGCGCCGCGCCGCGCCAGGGGCGCGCCCGTCATAAGCCGATCGTTAAGTCAATTACGATGACGCGTCGATTGCGAAATCACGGGCTGTTTTTACCTCGGAAAAATGTCTGAGGATAGTTAATTCAAGAGTATTTGCATGAGCGTCTCGTAAATAGCTGTGTCTTACGATTTGACGTCTTTAAATGTTCGACAGGTGCCAAAAAATAAACATACGATTAAAACATAAACATGTTACAAACAATGTTAAATTAATCTACAATCTAGTCCAACAAATATATTTTTTAAATTGAAACATGACAAAAACGCATATTTAAATTCGATTTTAAAATATTTAATTCGAAAAGAGATTAATGACGCCTGCTGTGACAAATTCAAATTCTTTCGTCTCGTCAATTGGAATAATAATAATCTCCCAATGAATCTCGGAATAAATCGATAATTTATTTTCAAAGTGATCTTATCTTAATCTTTTTTTGAAATTAGGTTGATTCAATTCAGGTCTTTTCACGACGATTAATTATATTATTTTAAACCGAACTCTGTCATTCCCTCATCGGTGGAAAAATTAGCACAATGTTAAACAATGGCTTGTACACTGTACCGTTATATAATAGATATATATTCAATTTATGTACGTTCTATGTATGTCGCTTTTACAACTTATTATAAATGTTCGAAAATCTAACAATTTCCATTGATTATATTTTGGCAACAGAATAAAACGGATAAAAGTCATCTTTTTTATTTACCTTCACAAGATATTCCTTCAATAAAATATTGATTTAAATCAGCATGTTATAGTTATAGGAACATAATTAAAACTGTTTAGGAACACTAAAACATTTGGGGTAAAGAGCTGTCTGATGAAATTTTCCGTGATGCAAACATGTCAATTCCGTACGCGTCCAAGAATGTGTCGTCGCGCGGCTTGATGTGCGATGATATGTTATGGATCGCCCTTTATATCACAACCAACAGCGGCTACGCGTACGGATATAGAGACCGGCCGAGACGACGACGTGCCGTTTCTCAACGTTCATTCTCCTCGTGCCGTTACACAAGAGGGGGTCCGTTATGCGGAGAGAGAAAGTGCGGCCGATGATATTGTACTCGCCGGGAACACAGTTATGTCTAAATAAAGATAACGACGATACCCGGCTGTGGAATCGGACCACGGAAAAGTGAACCTCTTCTTCTGTTCTCCCATCAGTTTATATTCCTGTCTTTGAAACGAAAGGGCCTTTTGACGAGGCCGAGTTTTAAGAATGCGGACAAACAGCGCGATCTTCTTATTTCTTTTAACTTCGAACAGTCTTCTTTTTTCTTTTCTTTTTGTTTTAATAATATTAAAATTATATTATATGTTAACATGATAAATAAAGTCATTTTGAAATTTTGTCACAATTTCAAAAATTGTGAAAAAATATGCGGATAAGATAAATAAAAAAAAATCTTGTCATATCAATAGTAACAACTATTTCTTAATGAAAAAGTTTCAAAAGTTAATGAAAAAGCTAAATATGTATGAAATAGATCTTTATATATCTGAACATTTAATTTCATGATACTAATTACAAGCATGATTTAGATAAACGTGTAAACAATGATATTACTTCACAAATCTTCTAAATACATTTACACTGATAGTAAGATGATTTTCGCGCAATATTTTTTACTGCTTTCATTCATGTGTATCAAACAATTAATTCGCTCGAGAGAGAAGATCATCAATATGCGAGATATTAAAAGATTCATTATCTCGTAAAATCATACAATGGTCAAAGCGAAACCAGCCTCAAACTTTCGGTTTGTTCGTCGTTAGATGTAAAACACAATTCTTTGGTAGACAACAGTAGCGAGACCGTCGAGCGGAAAGGGAGAGGAAGCGGCTAGAAAAGAAGGCAGAAGAGACCTCCAGGAGAGAGAAAGTGTCATCCCGCTGAAAGGAACTACAACCGCGGTTTTACCTCTCTCTAAACAGCGCGCCGTGTGCACGCGCGCGATATGCGCGCGTGTAGAGGCGGCGCCAAATGTTTTCGAAACCGTAAGACGCGCGCCGCGGAGCTCTCGGCGGTTCACTGACCGAGTTATGACGTCACCGCGAGAGATACGACGTCCCCCTCCCCGACTCCGCGAACCGCCGTTCCACGCTAACGGTCGCGGCTAGACGAACGACGGTTGCGAGAGCGCGGTGTATCGCTATGCGTGTGACACGCGCGTGCCGCGTAGGTACTCACGCGCGCGCGAGTGGGCGTCATGCACGTGATACTTCTATTTCTATCTCTATTTTATTTTATTTTTATCTCATTTTTGTTTTTTGTGTTTTATATTTTGAATTTGTATCAACTGTATTGCATATCTTTTATAACAATATTTATACTTTGTAGGGAAGAGAAAGAGAGAGAAAGTGTCATTTATTAGCAAAACAAGATTTAACTCTGGTTCTGATTCCGATTTGCTTTCTCTCTCTCTCTCTCTCTCTCTCTCTGTTTTTTTTTCATTATTCAATTATTTTGCTTGGTTTCTAAATGTACACATTATATCGTAAACAATTTTACAATTTTCAATGTTTTAGCGTTTGAGAGAATCTCACTAAATTATTCTCAATAAATATAGCGATATCTGTATTCTATCTCTATTCAGATGTTTTATTGAAAGTTTTGCCTCGACAAGACGCAGAGCAGGATTGTTTTGAATTCGACCCATTGATCGAATTTAAATTATTTACACTCGCTCTCAATGCGCGGTTGCGCGATGACGACAGACAAATAAAACTTAGGTATTTGAATTTAAACTGTATGCAATCTCTCATTGTTAAACGTTCTTCGATATATGAATATATTCGTTCGTTATACCATTACATTTTGAAGTTACGAAACAATGTATTCTTAGAATACTTTATACGGGAATATGGAATTAATATGTATCTATTTTTCTCTCTACATTTTAAGACGTTAATTATTTTTATATATTTTAACATTTTATAATCATAATTGTCTCAAAAGACGAGATTCTTTCTTTTTTGCACATTATTTTACCACAACTTTGTCGATTATCTCGAAGAATTATTGAAAAATTGTTGAAAATGTTGAAAAAAATATTGAACAAAATATTGAAAAATTATTAATATTATTTAGTTATCATGATTTTTCACAATCTTCATTGCTATTGAAGAAATTTTTTTTCAGTTAGTACATGTGCACGGAAAATGAGAACACTCTTAACGTCGCGCAAGATTAAGATGAAAAAATATTAAACGTAGAAAAGAAAGTAAATATTACATGTTTCCGAGATTAAATATAGGGTGCGGTCAAAGTAATCTTACTACGAATGCTTTGAAGCATTGGCCAATCAGAAGAAAGAATTTTACGAATTAATCAATCAAAGAATGCTTCAAAGCATTTGTATTATACACTGACCATACCCATAGTCTTTCGGTTCACCTTGTTACGAGACTCTCTGTCTCCCGATTCGCAATGACTCGCGACGAACAGGTGCATGCGCGCGTGTGCGTACCGGCATGTTTATTCGATTAGAGTGGCTATAAAGCGACAAAGCGTGTGTCTGTCCGCATCCGTTTTCCGCCCAGACCTCTTAAATCCCCCAAGTGCAACGGGGCGCGTTGGCTCCTAGCCCGAATTTGCATTCCCCGCGATCTTTGCGATACAGGGTGTCCTCCTAATTCCCGCTTACTTGGCGCGTGGGTCGTGATGAATATCGAGTGAAAGGCACGCGGTTGCCCTGACACGCCCGATGCCGGATTTTCGTGGAAAACGAGGAAACGCTACGCTTGTTTCTGCGTTTTGTTCTCTTATTTCTGGGTACTGGTACAGAAATGCATCCACAGCACTGTCACGTTTCTATCGTTGCGCTTTTTTTTTCACTGTTTATTTCATTGCGTATAAGTCCTCGAGACATGCTCCTCTAAATTTTGCATACAAATAAATTGTTTTTATCCTCATATCATGATCAGCTTCGTATCGACGTACCATTGACTATTTGGGGTTTCATCATTTATTTATATGTATACAAAAGTTAGCGGGGCACAGTAGCGATATAGACTCTGAATCATCCAGCGTACACAGTCAAATATTCTATTAAGTGCAAGATAAATGTTCATTCAGTATTCATTGCTGTCATATATCACTTGTCAAATCCTTTAAAATAAAAATAATACCAAGTAAATGTAGTATCAAAATATTTTATAAACATGATATATAATATATAATATAACACATCATTTGAATTTAAAAGTGACACAAAATCTCACTCTCGCGAGTTTCTTTTACAAAAATTTGACTTTTCAATTTATTTTAAATCAATACAAAATATACTGGAACTTATCTTTAACTCTACATATAATTATAAATTATTACATATATAAATCTAAAAGGCGAAACGTCAAAATAACTGTGTATCGCACGTTCATAATTAGACTAGTATTCATAATCAGTTTTTATATTTAAGACCGTACAGTCTTAAGATGTCATGAACCAATCAGAGAGTTATATTAGCAACTTAAGACATTACTTAAGACGGTCCTAAAATAAAAATCGACTATGAGTATCGGCATTAGATTATAGGTCGGTATTCATAGTCAGATCTTATTTCAAGACCGTTGTAAGTAATGTCTTAAGATGCTAATACAGGCCTCTGATTGGTTCGTGACATCTCAAGACTGAACTTAAGACGGTCTTGAATATAAGAACTGACTATGAATACCGGCCATAGTTTCTTGCTGCTATATAATAGTCTCTCTGAACTTACCTCAAGCGTCTGCCGTAAGGTGAGATCAGGGAAAAAAATATCCTGCTGTTGTACGTAGCAGATTCTTCTGCGCCACCGTTTGGTGAGCCTCTCGCGATTCAACCAGATCTCACCGCCGTCCACGCCAACACGGCCGGACAAACAGTTCAGCAGTGTTGTTTTACCACAGCCTGCGTAACAAATATGCCAGACAAAAATTTAGCGCCTCCGTATGTTGTCATGTAAACTCGTTATATATTTCAGTGAATATATCTTTCACACATCGAGTGTTAGGTGTCTCTTACGCGCGTGAAAATCCTTATGTAAAGTCATATAAATTATCGGTGGACTAATAACCTTCGCTAATTTGAAAATCTACGATTTTGTACTTATCTATCTTCACTAACAAGAAAGGGTGATTTTGTCTACACATCGAGCAACATTTAAAAACTCCTAGCTATAACATATCATTAAAATCTTAGAAGTTTTAGTTCTTTGACTCTTCAAGTTGCTTAAAATGTTAAATTCTCATTTCTTCTATTTGTAAAGTCAATAAATTCTCAGACGCGATCTTCGAATATTCGAACTCGCTGCTTCTCTTTCTCGATCCAGGTCGATGAAACGGTAGATTTATATATAAAAATATTTTAAGAGAGAGAGATGCTCGAAGTGCGATAAATTACATAATTGTTAAAAACAAGCGGTATATGTTATTCGTAGCACGATCTTAAATGAAGAGTTAATGTAACTGTTATAGTATTATAAATGCGTTTACACTGAAAGAATCTTTCTTGTTAAAATACCACTGAAACTCGTGAGTATTACGAGTTCACCTTTAATCGTGTAATAAAGATTCAATTTTGTCCTTCTGTATTAGGAACGCCAGAATTTAACGTTGAAATAATTAAGCTCGGTGATTCGGCTGGATTTTGTATGTGGCGCACGGTGTGTTGGAACGGACTTTCTCGTGCAGCGATAAATATTCCAGCCGAACGAAATTGCCGGGCTGGTGTATATTTCGCCGCCGCGCGCATAAAAGCGGTTAAAGATAGAAACGCAGACTTAATTCCGTGCGACGTCCGTGCAACACCGTGCGATTAAGATACGCAAGAAATAATGTGAAACGTGAAAGAGTATTCGAGAAGCCGCGCAATTACGTTGGATCATTGGAGGGATGGGACGAAAAAGGATCATTACAGAAATGTAATGGTACAGAATAAACGCGAAGCTGTGTGTATGTTTTTTGTTATTAACGGTTCAACCGATGCGATGTATACGACGTAACTTTACGTGGCTATTTTTGGAACTGTTTTATACTCATCAGAATTTAACGTTCCTACTGTTGTTAATTATTTTGCATACATTATTTACGAAAAGAACGATTTTGCTGATTTAAAAATTTAACTAGATACAGATCTGAAAATAATTTGTTGGATTAATTATTACTATGTAGAACGTTCAAATTGTTTGCTAGAATGTCAAATCTTTTTGTAGTATTGTTCGTCATGCTTGAGTTTCCTGTCATAATTATTTTGATGGTACATTTTCAGATCTGTATTTAGATACTTCAGTAAAATCTTTCTGTGTATATCTCAGATATAAATATATATAAAAATTTATTATGTTTGCCAGTCCGTTCCGACGCACCATGCGCCACATACAAAATCCAGCCGAATCACCGAGTTTAATTATTTCGACGTTAAATTCTGGCGTTCCTAATACAGAAGAACAAAATTGAATCTGTATGACACGATTAAAGATGGACTCGTAATACTCACGAGTTTCAGTGGCATTTTAACAAGAAAGATTTTTTGAGTGTAATAATCTAATATTTTTAAATATAATTTGGAACTAAATATTTTATTGTCCACTTGAAAAAATAATTCTTTGAGAAATGTATCATCGTTATCGAATGCAATTGATATTACGCATGTTGCGAGAGTTAAAATGTGTTTGAGAAAGATTAACTAATATATGAAATAATGTGATACCTGAAGGGCCCATAACGGCCAATAGTTCGCCTGGCTTGACGACACCTGACACATCTCGAAGGAGCACTCGCTTGTCCTTGACTACCTGCAATCCCCGGAAGATTAGCTGCACCGGACGAGAATCCAGCGGGCACACCAACTGCAGCGCTGAGCTTTCCACTCTGTAAACATTAAAATATTGCACTTTCAGAAAAGACGCGTCTCTTGATTTTTCCGTCTTACATTTTTTAACATAAAAATTCTTATACTCGCGTAAGAAAATATCTAATATTTAAAAAGAAGATTCTTTTTTGAAAATAAGACATTACTGAAAATAAAAAAAATCATTTTAATGCAATACTGTTAATAATATAATAATAATAATTAATAAATAATATAATAATAATTATAATATAATATAATAATATAATATAATTAATAATATAATTCAGACAGAAATTAACATAAAAATCTTTAAAATATGATTTTCAAAGTGACACCGTTATAAAATTTCAAGTTACGTGCGGATTCGTCATTGGCACGCCGATTTCATTTGGAATCTTTTCGCGTAGCTACAATAAACCATTAGCGTAGATTCTGCAAGCGAAACTGCGGAATTATCGCCAGCGCTAAAGGTGCTAATTGCGTTTTCCAGATCTAGATTGCCGTATCAACACGTGACGTTGATATAAGGGAAAAAGGCGTTGATTACGTCCAGATGCTTTTATCGGGGGGATATGGCGTTAGCGAGATTAATCCGAATTTAATGGTTCGCGAGACATTTACGAGTATCCCATAAAAATTCACTTTGGCGCAAATCATCGGATAGGCGAATTTCGGTGGTCCATGTCATGGAGGGAGTCGTTAAAGCAAGGTGATGTAGATTCTAGTCAGACGTTTGCACTCGGCGCGAACGCGAGAAGCAAGCTTTATAATAACAATGACGTCTCATGGGAGTTATTTCACGACGGCAATTAAGCCTGGCGTGCGTTACGCTGAGAAATGGCGTTTCGCAATGCCAGAGAGACTCGTGCAATGTTGCTGGAAAATCTTTCTCTTTTCACCTGCCGACTGACCTCTTTCATATCTTTCAAGAACCTACCTCAATTTATTTGAAAATTTCCTCGCATTCTTCACAATTTATTAACTATACTTGTTTATGTTCGGATACAATAATATTCTTGATATTTCAATATTAGTGACACCTTGTTTATCGCTTTCTCAAAACTTGTATTTCTTTTATACAATTATAAGAGCCTACATAACTCTTATTAGAACTGGCGATTGAGATTGGAACGATTGTAAACAGAATATGAATATAAAAATGGAAATGTTCCACAAATAAGGTCTAAGTCAAGGCTAGTATTATGAATCTTTCCGTAAATATTTTCAATTCAAATAATATTGTTTTTCGTCAGAATAACTGTCCCATTATAGGTCTGTTTTTTTTAGCTAAAGTTCTGTGCAAGAAGTTCAGCTAAAAAGAACAGGTCTAATAAGACAACTGTTATTTTATTATAAACATACCGATTATATGTTAAACGATAATAAATTTGTGTGACAATTTCGGTGAAAAGTCAATACTCTTTCTGTGTGTTATATGAAATATATGTGCGTATGTGTATATATATTAAATATTGGCACGTAAATGCGTGTTTTTTTCATTTGTGCAAAAACGCATAAAGTCTATTTTGTTCTTTTTAATTTATATAATAATCCAAAAACAAATAGTGTTATGATCAGAAAGGTAAATTAAAAATTTTCAGATCATTATATATTACATACTCTAATAAAAATTTGTATCTAAATTTTCTTTAATCATTGGTTATTTCATTACTTTACATATATTTTATATTCTTTAGTACTATAATCACACTCTCAGATTGGATTTATGATAATACCGAAAAAAAAATTCTTGACGTACTTAATTCAATTCTTCCACACACTTAAGGTTAACTCTATATAATATAAAATTATAACTATATTAAGATTAAATCAATAATTTTTATTCTACTCCCTCGAATAAAATAAGATCAACATCTTGTTCTGAGACAAGTATAACACATATACATTTAGATTTAGAATTAAAGTCTATCCAGCAGGGGCGGATTCAAGGGGGAGGGGCATGGGAGCCATGCCCCCCCCTTGGGAGTTTCCCTTTTTAAAAATATTTATAGCAAAAGGTTATACATACTTTTAATATTTCTGAAATACTTAATCACAATTTTGATATTCCAAAAATATTTTTT